AAAAAAAAAAAAAGAGTCTCAGGGACTCCCCTATCTGGGCTGGCTTTGGACCATGATCCTCAGCTCTCAGCCTCCTAAGTAGCCAGGATTACAGGCATGAACCAGCAAAAAGCAAAAAGTAGAACTATAGCTTAAGTGGTAGAGCACCAGCCTTGAGTGGACAGAGCACAAATCCTGAGTTCAACCCCCAGACTGGCACCAAAATGTACATATACATATGCATATACACATATACCCATACATCCATATGGCCGTTAGTAAAGCACCATTTAACTATCCAATCCTTCATAATAACTTTATGTTCAATACCAATATTATTAATAGATTACCAATAATGCCAATATTATTAATAGATTTTCACGTACAGGTATGTATGCTCTGTTTGCTTCCTCTTACCTCTTGTTGGAGCTTAACCAGACTCCACTGGTCTCCAGAGGTGTTCACTTCTGAGTCACATTAGAACTGACCGAACAGACTGGCTGTGGTTGGACACTGCTGTCGCACTCTCTCCCCGCGGCCAGCGCGCACGGCTGGCTCCACGCCACGCCACCTGCAGGCCCAACCCACACTAGCTCAAGAAAGTACTAGATTATACATGAGAATTGCTTTTTCCCCATGTTTTGTTTTTCTGCAGTTTTCAGCATTAGTCTTTCAGAACAGCTGGTGCCGGAAGCGCAGCGCGCCTCGCGAGCGGCCACCGCAGCCCCAGTTCTCTCCAGCCCGCTCGCTTCCGGCATGGGGCTTCGCTGCATTTGTTTCCAACCTTCCTGATAGAGCACAGTATTTTCTCTTCTCTTCTTTGCCTTGGCTCCCAGGAAGCTTCCAGCCAAACCTAAAAGTAGTAGTATTATAGTGACTTATTTCTCACAGTTAGCTCTTTTTATTTCCTTAAATTCATTGTTCCACTGGGCCTTACTGAATGGAGGGGTGCGGGGCGGGATGCCGCACTCATAGCTTGGGGGTGGGGTGGGGAGGACTGCTTGGGAGCGGCTTGGAGATCATTTGCTGCACTGGTGGTTGGCGGAACAGGATGCTGAGGAGCCCTGGTAGATGAGGCCGGGCACTCTGCGAAGGCCTCCTCCCACAGCGCAGCCCGACTCCCAGGGAGCCCCTCTCGCAAGGGCCTCTGGGTGCTGGGCTTCCTGGACACATTTGACCCCCAGCGGAGACAGAATTTCATGTAAGACACAAAGTACTGATGATGTGGTGCTCGGTATTAATATTGCCAGGGTTTTAAATTTCAGAAAGTATTGTTCAGTTGAAGACTGGAGCACAGGGTGGCCTTAAGTCCCGGCTTCGGTAGAGCACGGGAAGGGGCTGTGGCAGGACAGCGGGACGGCAGCGGGACGGGCTCGGTTCTCCTTGCAGGGGCTGGGCCTGTACGCCGCTAGAGACATCGAGAAGCACACCATGGTGATCGAGTACATCGGAACGATCATTCGCAATGAAGTGGCCAACAGGAAGGAGAAACTCTATGAGTCCCAGGTAGGCCGCAGCCCCCTCAGCACATGCCGACCAACCGCAGCGTCTCCTCCTGCGCCTCCCGCACACCTGAACTGCGCAGCTCGCGGGCCACACAGTGCGCAGCCTCGAAGCCCTGCCGCGCTGCTCCTGTCCTTGCTGAGCTGCGCCGCCGGTGGCCTGTGACCTGTGACCTGCCCGTCACAGGCCTGGCCTGATGCAAAGTCGGGGCCCTGGCGCTCATTCTGCCTGCCTTTCCCCTAGAACCGCGGAGTGTACATGTTCCGCATGGACAACGACCACGTGATCGACGCCACACTCACAGGAGGGCCTGCAAGGTGAGGGGCTGTGCCTGCCACAGACGGGAGTGGAGCTCTTCCAGCGCCAGCCTTGAGCGAAAAAGCCAAGTGAGCGCGGTCCTGGTCCAAGCCGCACTGCAGGCACCGAGGAGGAGGGGAGGGGTGGACACCGGGTGTGTGCTCACGAGACTCACAGTGACTGCACGTTCAAAACATGCACATGTGCATGTGTGGTCACTGCCCCGCTTCCCCAGTGGTGCTGGGATTCTAGCTGGGGGCCTCATGCTTGCTAGGCAGAAATTCTTCCTCAGCCACGCCCCTCAGCTCTTTTTGCCTTGTTTTTCAAGTAGGGTCTTAGCTTTTGTTCAGGGCTGGCCTTAGACAATGATCCTCCTGCCTCTGCCTCCCTTGCAGCTGGGATTACAGGTGTGAGCTACCACATCGGGCTAATTCTTTGAAACCAAATCTTCTGGACAATCAAATGTATAGTGACCATGGAACTGGCACTGCATCATGGCTCTCCTATTTTTGTCTCTTAAGTAGCAGGAATTACAGGATTTACTTGCCCTAGACCTGAGACTAGCCTGGAACTCCCTCAGCTTCCTAAGTGCTGGGATTATAGGTATACACCACTATGCCACGTGGCTTATAGAAAATGTTTTGGGAGGAATTCTTAAAATTTGACTTATTTAAAATTTGTTTAGTTAACTGATAAGTACAAATGTAATTAGCAAAATGTTTTCCCAATGAATTGAAAGTTTGTAAAGTTTTCTAGTGTTTTACAATCAGTAGTTTTCTGGCCTGGCTTGCAGGTATATCAACCATTCCTGTGCCCCGAACTGTGTGGCTGAAGTGGTCACTTTTGAGAGAGGACACAAGATCATCATCAGCTCCAACCGGAGAATCCAGAAAGGAGAAGAGGTGAGGGGGTCTGTCCGTGCCTACGTGGGGGCGGCTGCCCTTTCCTGTGGCCATTTCCCTTTCTCCCTTGATAGGAGCAGGAAAAGCTTCCTGTTAGGCACTCGGGTGCCTCCTTCACTGGTCTGAGTGTTTTATGTCAGTGTTCCATCCACACCTTTTTGCATGTCTCAGGAGCCTTCTATGCCCTATAACCTTTGACCTGTGACCCACTGTCACATACCTGTCATTTAACTGACATTAAAACCCCTAGCATTGGCTGGGAAGGTGGCTCACTGGTAGAGTGCTTGCCTAGCATGCATGAAGTCCTGGGTTTGATTCCTCAGTACCACGTACATAGAAAAAGCCAGAAGTGGTGCTGTGGCTCAAGTGGTAGAGTGCTGGTCTTGAGCAAAACAGCTCAGGGACAGGGCACAGGCCATGAGTTCAAGCCCCAGGACTGGAGTGGAAAGATTAAAAAGAAAAAAAACTAGCATGGCAACCTCTCCTCTGCCTGGCTTCTCGCCAGCTGGGATGACTTGGTCTGAATCGCCTGGTTTTCCTTCCCCGGCTGTCATTCGCACGCGTGCTTGGCCCAGGGAGCCGTGCTGGGGTCTAGAACCTGCAGTGCAGAGCCCCAATGGGTTTCTGCACGGCCCTGGCTGCGGTGAGGCGGCCTGGCGGCCCCGCGTCCACGCTCATAGGCTCGTAGTCCGCTCTGGGAGTCCGTGGCGAGGGTCCAGAGCAGCCCAAGGCCCGCGAGAGCCTGAGCCAAACAGGTGCCGCGGCCTGCAGTGGCTCTGCGGCTGGCTCTGCGGCCTGCAGCCTGCAGCTTGCGGCTGGGTCCGCGGCCTGCGGCTGGGTCCGCGGCCGGGCCTCCGGGCAGCACGGGCCTCCCGCTATCTCCCCCGTGCCCACGTTGGGCGTTCTGTAGGAGAGAACTGACGCCTTCCAGTAGCGCGGTGCTGGCCTCAGAGCTGGGCGGAGGGGCGGCGGCTCGCGTCCCACCACGCCCACCCGGTGCCAACGCCCTGGGGCACGGGCTCCCCCCCACCCCCCACCCCCCGCACGGGCGGGCTCGCTGCCTTGGCTGCCATGGTC